GCCCGGCTCCTAGGCAGAGGAGGACAGGGTGAAAGAAAGACAAACTAAACGCCAGCCAACCCTCAGCATCTGTGCCCGCGTGATCTTCGTTTTTTCTTCTTTGAATTATTTCGGAAAAAAAGATTACTGTGTTTTTGGCTATTTGTGCCGCATGTGGAGTAGTTTTCCTCACACCCCTGACAAACAAAGGAAGAGGGGGAGGGGGACCGCGTTTCGCAGAAGACATGCGTTCAGTCAGGAAAAGGTGGACTGTGTGCACGATAAGTCTCCTCCTCATCTTCTATAAGACGAAAGAAACAGTTTGGCACCGCTGGCCGGGTAATTGCAGAGCGCCGCGCTGGGAGGGCTCTCCGAGGGGGCGACGGGGCGATGTCGCTTCGTAAGGTCGTCCCCCGGGCCCCACACGTGTATTCAGGTCATCCGGTGCTCCCTGGGCTGTGACCTCCTCCCCTGCGGTGTCACCGCAACTTCGCGATCTCGCTGGTCGGCACGGGAAGTGGGGGGGAGGGCGCGTGCGGGACGAGGGTACCGCTGCGGGTCGGGTTCCGAGCGGGTTCGGCTGGCGGAGCTCGGCGGCTTCGGGCTGGGAACAAGGAGGAAGGGGCGGGTGGGAGGTTGCCCGGTGCCAGGGTGGCGGCTGGGGCCGAAATAGGGCGCGCCGGGGAAGCTCACCTGGCCGGGGCTGTTTCCTGATGGCCGAGGTGGTGGTGGCGGCTGCCGGAGCGCGTTGTGCCTTGTTTCCTGCTTTGGGAGCCCTTCAGAGGCTGGGGTGACGGAGTGCGCGGCCGCTGGCAACTCCAGATGGCCCCTGCTTCCGTCCTTGAAGTTTGCCTAGGAACTGTGCTTAACTTTGCTGCTCCTTGGGGATGCTTGCTTTGAGAGCGTGAGAGACACCCCCGTTAGCTCCTGAGGATTATCCGCTGGGAACTCGTCCCTCGCTGAGACCCTCTGTTTCGTATTTTCTCTCTGCTGCCTGTCTTCGGTTCAAAATGTGAAAAGCCCATTGCCATTTTTCTTTTTGCACCTCGGCTTTCTCTTTGTCACGCGTTGAGTTTGTGTACCTGCATGCCTGTATGGCTCATTTTTCTCCCAAATTGCAGCATCTGTGAATTGCATCTGTGAAGATGTTGGGTTTTCAGCCAAGCTTGTTTCTCCTTGGAGGGCTATACTTTATTTTTGTTTTCACAGGAGGGATTAATAAATTCCGTGGTGACATAGTGAAATCAGCAAAGGTGTGGGGAGGGGCTCACGCTTTCTGTTTGCTTGTCCAAATCGAGTGAGGGGAGATACATTCAAAGCAGATTTTTGTCCTTTGGTGTAAGCCCTTCCTTGCCTTAATTTGAGGAAAAGACGTAAGGATGTTGTAGGTGCCCCGTACGGGCCTGGAGAAAGCTGGGGCAATTACAGTCTACTTCGTAACCCTTTCGCCCCCGCGGTCCCCAGAGTTAGAGGCAGAAAGTGCACCCTTCTTCCTCAGCCGTTGTCCGGGCAGGCCGGGGCGGCCGCGGGACGGAGGCACCTGGGCACAGCTGGGCGGTGGCCGCGGCACCTCCCGGGAGCAGCGGGTGGCCTTGCTTTTGTGTATGTATGGTTGATGATGAGGTTTGCTCCCCTTGGTATCAAAGATTTTCACAACTGGCTGGTAACTGTTCCTCCTGTTCAGCCTGGGTGTAAGCCTAGTTTCTGCCACGATGCTGTGGTATCTGCGTGCTTACGAGATTTCAAAAGTTTAAAATTTTGGGGTCATAGGTGTGTAAAAATGCATGTGAAAGTGAATATGTGAAGGAGAATCGACATTAAAGACACCGATGTTTGTTACTATATACTCCTTCCTGTCAGACTAGAGGTAGCTGCTAAAATGATTCATAAATTTAGTCACTAGGTAGAATCCATTCATATTTTTAAAAAAAGCTCCCTCAAGCTTATGAGATATTATTTGACACTATTTAAAAGGTACTAAAATGATGATTTACTATTAAATGAAAGAAAATAAATGTATTTATACATAAAGATGTATGTCCTTAACAACACTTTAAAATATAGCTGTAATGTACTTCTGCCAAGTCATTTAGTGATACCTCTGCTTCTTTGGTGTCAGTGAGACTTTTTATGTAGTATGGTGCTACTCACTTTGGCTAAGGATATTGGAATATAGTTTCTTTTCCCAGCCAATTGTCCCATCTACTACTGTACAAACCAGGAACCCCCACCAGGTGTTCTACTGGTATCTGCTGCCACTATTGATGTTACAGTTGCCTTTCTCCTGAAGGAAGGACTCAGGCCACATGGGAAAGCAAAGTCAGTTTTCTGTGAGATGTTTTAGTTCCAGAAGTATCGCTACTGCACAACTGTGAGTGCGTAAGGTGGCCCGTTTTATGGTTATTAGTGACACTTCAGTTAAATCCAAAATGGACTATGTGTGATTCCAAAGTATGTGATAAACCTTAAATGAGCTGTGTTCTCATAACAAAGTTTGCTAGAACGGTAATTGCAAAAGCATGTCCTTCTTTAACTGGACAGTAATGTCCCTTTAAAGGTTAAGCAAGTAATGAAACACGCATATTATGTGGAATACAGTGTTTCTTAAACAGTGTTATCTTCTGCTGTTATGGAATATGTTTGAAGACAGTTATTTCTATTTAATGAACTGTCTTCAGGAGAAGAGATAATTTTATTGTATTGGTCCAATGGTCACCAAGGCAAGGTAATTCGGAATGAAGGTTGACACTGTCAGCCACAAGTTTGTGTTACGCTATGGCAGCTGTTTCATTTACATCAGAGAGGATTTGCAGTCATTCTAGAAGACACGAAGGGTCCCAAATTTATTTCACTGTTGTTTAGACAGTGAAGAATTTTCTGGAGCAAACGTAGCTCTTTATGTGTTAGTTTATTTAGTATTATTTTAAGCGAAAATTAAATAATACCAATAGAAGGAAGAGAAGCGTGTAAGTGAATACCTTTGTGTTCATAATAGAACTTTTACACAAAATGCCTATGACTTATTTTAGCTCATGAGAACATAATATAACATTGTTTTACAGTACAATCTATATAGCTCACTGCAGACGTAAATTGTGAGTGTGGAAGACAACTGCATTTCAAGTGCTACAGTGTTTTAGGTGTAGGCAACACATTTTGTTGCTGAGTTTTGTCACCTGTGTCACTGTTAAAGTGTCTACTGGTAACGTTTAACTCTGCACAAACTGGAGACATTTCTGAAGTACTTTTAGACTGAGTAATTTACCTGGATCTATTTTGGTAATTTTCCTTTAGAGGCATACACTCTATGCATCTAGAAAATATATGCAGGAAAATATATGTAATAAATATATTTACAACCATAATGGAAAATTTTTAGGGAATAAACCATTTTAAAATAGCAAGAAGACTTAATTACATTTTGGTTATTGAATTTTAGGACTTCTGCGGCATCCTCCTATGCCCTCAAGTTAGCGTGTTTTGGATAATACAAAACATACAGAGCTTGTACCTACATGACTGCTTAAAGTTGTAGGTTTTTCAGTAGATGGCACTCTTACCTATGAGTCAGTGCAATGTCAGTGCTGCAGCATGTTGGCATAGAGGGGATGAGGCAGAGAACATTGATAGTAATCAGTTTTGCTGAAGTGTATAATACTGGTTTATTAGTTACAGGGGCTTTTGCAATCATAGCAAATGACTGCATTTAGCACTTTTTGCAAATGACTGCATGTTTATCAGTTTTGTTATTTAGCTTAATTAATGTCCCATTGCAGACTAGTTTGAGTTTTAGTCTGCTATATCATTTACCAGATACTAATACTTTATATATCTACTGCAGTAATGTTGCTGTAGCTCTTGCTAAGGACCAGGATTCAATTGTTTTAAGAACTTGCAGCCACAGGAAAACAGGAGTCATTGATTCCCTGGAAAACTTACAGTCTCATATCTTTTCTGCTTTGTTGGGTGAATGGCTAGTGATCAAAAGTTCTGTACTTGCAAGCTAAGTGTAGTTATTATTGGCAGTATTTCAGAGCATGAAGAGATTTCTGCATATGCTACTGAGATACAAGACATCCTACATGTTTTATCCAACAACTTTGATATATTTATGATTAACAGCTATGTTTGAACTCAGCTGAACGTTGCTCTGGCACTTAAATGGAAACAGTATGGAAGATAATGGAAACGTATGGAGATAAAAATAGATTTCGAAACTAAAACCTTAAGTTGTCCTTGCAGTATTTTAGCTTCTCTGTCACATTTGTGTGATGATCAGGTCCCCAACTCCTCTGGTCTCCTTCAGCGAAGTCCCATCTGGGTCGCCAAAACTGTTACCGAAAATCCAGAATAAGAAACTTATCAACACCAATGGGATGTAGATAAGCAGACACTTCTTTATTGTGGCGCTGGGCGCACGGGGGATATCTCCTCCTAGCATGCACACCTTGCACCAAAATTAAACTTCTTATATAGAGCTTACATATGCAAATCCATTAGGTAATCATACATAAACATATTATTTCCCGAAAATCATTAGCATATTCTCCTCCTATTTGCAATTCTGCGCAATAAAAGTTAGAATCATCTAGAAATGAGTCTGGGGTATAATATGGGTAGGTGGTCCGTGAGTTGGTGGTCGCGATCTCCCGCTGCCGGAATTAACTTTTCCTGAAGTTCACGGTTTCTGACAGGTACCCATAGACCATTATGAAACCGTTACGGTTGGCTTTCTTCATCTTCATTAATTTAGACCTTGATAGCTACATGCATTCTTCTAGTTCTATGTAGGTATCATAAATCAGTTTACAAATCAACTTGTGCTTTGTACTACATGTTCTTACTAGCTGATTCTGACCTATCCCTTTCGTCCTGGTACAAGGCTATACAGGGAGTTTCATAGCAGCATATGATTACTATACGAGCATACTTTTCATCAGAAAGATTTCTTATAATCCTATATTATTAAAATCAACTACAAACCATATTAATTACAAACTATTGATTGAATTTTAATTACCAAAACTCTAAGTATCAGTAACACTATTGGCTTATACCATTGCAACTGGTAACATTATGATACCTCATCAGATGTTCAGTGGTCATCACCCACAGCTTACTACATTATAATTTTTTTTAAGGTTAATTTACCAAAATTTATAAATATGATAAGATTGATGACGAGGATAAGACAACTGGAGTTGTTTGAATGTGTGCATACAAAAGTTTCAGAAAGTCAAAATTTTGTGGTTCCTATGCTGTTAAACTTCAGAATTCCATGTGTTAAAGTCTTTTAGTATCAATAGGAAGTAAAGGGAGTCTATTAGGCCATTGTTGTAGAACATGAGCAATTGCTGGGGGAAGGTTTGAAAGTTAACACTTAATGCAGTTTAGTGTTAACTAAACTAGTGTTTCCAATTTAGTACTGGAAATTTGTAACATAGATGTGCAGAATCTGCCTCATAAACATAAGTTTGGTGCAGGTTCACAATTTGGAGTTTATTGTAATTTTTTTAATGTCTGTTTCATTACAAATACCAACATATTTAAGCTATTAAATTGCATGTTCAAGTATTAGATAGAGGTGTCCCATAGATTACTCACAGGTATGGTTTATTTGCTTTGGCAAGCAGAGTAAGTCTGAAGGAGAGAGAGCTGCCTCTTTTTGTTGTAAATAAAAGGAAGTATCACTGGTGCTTGTGAAGTAAATTACTTAAATTAGAGTTATGCTTGATGTAATCATGTCTCTTCTATATTGCATTGCAGAGATGGTGAACTGAGTTTGAGCAGAACAATGATCAATATCTCTGATAAGGTAATTCAAAAGAGTGGCTCCTCAATCTTCCAGCATGTTGTAGAAGCTTGGAAAATCAATTCTTCTTTGGTACTGGAAATAAGGTGAGTGTCTTAAATAAAAAGTGGCTTATTTTGTATTACCTATAATTCTTTTCACTTCATATTGCCTATAATTCTTCTGGTCCGGAAAATAGTAATTTGCTTTACAGTTGCAGGTGGATGTTATTATAACGGTACATATTTAGAGTGCGACGTTAAATGCAACTAAATTGCATTAGACTCCACAGTCGAGTCATCCTTCATAAGAATAAAAAAAATGTTTTCACCTGTCTGTGTCAATCAGACCCGTGCAGTCAATACCTGCTTTACACCTGTCTATGTTTGAACTGGTGGTCTAGAACTGTGTTGCAGTCAGTGGTGAGAAATTAGCAGCTTTAGGACATGATTTCCTCTCATCTGAAAGGTCTGGAGTAGGACAGATGGAAGTACCCTGAACATACCAGTTTTTCTCCCTTAACTACAAAGGGAGTTTAGGCAGGCAACTTAGGTGTAGGAGTCAAGAGCTAGGATGTCAGGTGCTGTGAGTCCAGCCCTGTCTGTGGCTGGTCCAAGTTACAAGGTCCGGTGTTGACAACACCTGTATCTTATGCAGTTTTCTTTCCTTTAGGCTCATGCTGAGGGAGGAAACACAGTAGCAGAGTTAAAGTGAGTGATAGTTCTGATGCGTCTTAGTAGTTACAGTGGGTCTACTCACCTTGGGGCTTGAGATAAGGGAAATCAGAAGCCTCTTAGTGTGTTGTATTGTAATCATATCTTCCCTGTCTTAATCAGGAAGGTGGCCAGTGAGAGAAGTGTATGGAACATGGGTTGGCAATGTGGAGGGCTAGGAGTGTTGCATTCTGTAAAAAAATGATAGAAAGTAACTATTTTTAGCAGCAATCACATATCAGAGTAGACTTGATTTTCTGAATATTAAGATTTTGAATAGGAATTTGATCTCATTAATATGTGCTTTCTATGTTATTTCCTTTTTTTTTTTCTTAAAGGACAGCCTACAAAACCCTTAAACAGGCAGTGCTCCTGTATATGAAAGCGTAGCTTCTCTGAATGAGGAACTTATGGGTTTTTTTTAATGACTACTATTTTATGTGCCTAATTCTAAAACATGCAGAAGATACAGGTAGCTCAGAAATGTACAAAGCTGTAATAAAGGACTTATGTTCTGAAAGTCTTGTGCTACGATGGACGTAGTGCAGCTCTGCTGTGAAAGCCAAGGAACAGTGTCAGTGAAAGCGTAGCTTCTCTGAATGAGGAACTTATGGGTTTTTTTTAATGACTACTATTTTATGTGCCTAATTCTAAAACATGCAGAAGATACAGGTAGCTCAGAAATGTACAAAGCTGTAATAAAGGACTTATGTTCTGAAAGTCTTGTGCTACGATGGACGTAGTGCAGCTCTGCTGTGAAAGCCAAGGAACAGTGTCAG